AAGCCAAACAGAAAATAATCAACAATCACCATCAAAATCACTTTTAAAGAGAGTAGATATCTTTTAAACTTTATTACAAAAAAAATATGATTTTTGGTAATACTTTTTTTTCTTTTTTTTAAAGATAGGGCACATAGCCCCAACACACCACCCTGCACACAGAAAATACTCATTGGTCTTCACTAGTGAAATAACCAATGGATTGCTAAGGGCCAACTTGCCTGAACAGGTTACACAAGAATCTCAGAGCCCAACCCATTGTGAAGAAACATGGGCTACTTCTGAGGTTCTAGAATTCCCAGAAGCTCTGCTTCAGCACTGGGAGCTTTTGCTCGCAGTTTGCTTCATAGCTCTGTGAAGAAGCTGTGGCCCACACTAGGATCCCCTCTTTTCCTAAACCGAGATGAACATGTTTCTCTTACTAATGAGTCTTTATCTCCTTGGATCTGCCAGAGGTGAGTGTTCGATCTAGGCTTCAGGTAAATACAAAAGGGGTCTCCCTTAAGACATTTCAGGCCTTGAAGAAGGAAGACCAGTCTCTCAGTCATCCAAACCAATTTGAGTCAGAATCAAGAGCAGCTAAACAAGTCCAACTCTGAGAGCTCCTGAACCAGTTGATTTCTCTAGTCACAGCTTTACAGTCAGAGGGTCCCACTGGCCTGGCACAGTCTTGTTTCTACTTATTTTAGCCACTCAACATTTATACCTGATGCTGCATGAGATGAAAGAATAGGCTTAGGGGTTCTGAAGAAGCCCAATGAAAGTCTGTCCCACCAATTAAATGTGAGGGATCCTTGTGTGGTTAATGTGACAAGGAAAGACAGAGATGGGAAGATGTGATGTGTTCAGAAAACAATCTCAGAACACGACAGAGCTATAGGCCAGAGACTTCATAAGCCTCTTCTTCATGGCTGTGTTCTATCAATCCAGTTTTCTGTATCACCTCTTCTTTCGGGATCCCCCATTCATGGTGTGCTATGTTCCCTCCTGCCTCCTACAGAAGAAAGAGGCCATGAGCTCTGGGCTTTTAGTGAAATAACAATGTATTTTCTATAATGATGAGTGTCAGAGGTTTTGCTTTTTGCTTTGTTAGACCTTCAAAAATTGACTCAAAAACGTAGATACACAGCTACCAGGTGATAGTATGTGCCAGTCACATGGTGACACAAGACATAAACTATAAGATCAAGAAATTAGCATGATTTTTCATGCTCCTTCCTATATCAGAAACGCTTTATCAAAACTTTTGTTAATTATTGAAAAATCAGTCAAGTAGACAGCATTTATGTGACAAGTTTAAAAAATAAAAACCTCCTAAAAGCTTTACTAAATCTTACCTTTCCTTTATCAACATGTTCTCACCCTAGTCATTTAGAATGTCATTGATTATAAGTACTGCACTGTGCCAAGAAAAATGTATCTATCACAAGATTCTTAGAGTTTGAGTACTCTGGGGTTTTAGACTACCTCAGCCTCAAAGATCCAGTAATTCCTCTCAGCTTTTGGCTAGAATTAAATAACTTGGTTGTTGTAGTCTACTTGTCTACTCTAGGTGGTTCAGTTTAATTAAAGAATGATAATCAAATTACCTGTTTGCTGCTTCGTTCACTTAAAATACACTTAAGGAATATTTGTCTGACAGTCAATGATGAGAGACACGGTGGTTCATGCCTTGATCCCAGCACTTTGGGAGGCTGAGGCGGGTGGATCACTTGAGGTCAGGAGTTCGAGACCAGCCTGGCCAACAAGGCGAGACCCTGTCTCTACTAAAAATACAAAAATTAGCCAGGCGTGGTGGCGTGCACCTGTAATCCCAGCTACTTGGGAGGCTGAGGCAGGAGAATCACTTGAACCTGGGAGGCAGAGGTTGCAGTGAGCCGAGATCGTGGCAGTGTATTCCAGCCTGGGCAACAGAGCAAGACTCTGTCTTAAAAACAAAAAAAAAGAGACGGATTAAAGGTAGAAGAAACTGGCCAGAAAAAAATAACCATCTAAGAGTTCTGTAATTCTCAGTGTGCGGTGGGAAGAAAAGAAAAATAAAATTCATTGAGTACTAGGCAATGGTGCACTTCACAATTAATTTATCTTATTAAGTACTCAGGACAACTCCATGAAGTGAATGTAAATGGTATGTCACAAGGATACAATTCATACATATGTGTCTATATATATATATAAATAAAATATGCCTAGATTTTTTTTATCTTAATAGCTTATAGCAACTTTGCCCTCTGAATCCCCAACCTACATGGCTTGGGGAGTGAGTGTGAGAAAAAACTTGACATTACCAAATACAGGTGACTTAATCCCATCTGATAATTTTTGTGGGCTCATACTTGTCATCTTCTAAAGTTTACCCTGTCCAAAGGTTAACTCCTCCACCCTTAATTTAGGTTACAGATACTCAGGTATTGAAAACTACTTGCTTTCTCTCTCCCTCTTCTATCTCCACTCTTGTCTTTCACCCGTAGAGGAATGAGAGGGAGGGTTGGTGGTGAACTTCTGATTCCATCAGTGATGTTACCTTGACTTCCTGATGCTGACTTTGTCAGGGAGCCACATTCATTTTCCTTCAGGTGCTTTTGGTACAGGGATGAGTGGATTCTCCTACGTAGTTCTTAATATTGGGGAACTTAAGATTCTTCCCTTCAATCCCAGAGGTGGCCTCTTTGTGTTTCACTAAACACTTCTGTCCTCCATGGCCTTTTGGGGTACTTAGTTGATTTCTCCCAACATCTGCAGTCTTCAGGTGCCTGATCTAGGCCCATAGGAAACCTAGGAGTCTCATAACATTAGCCTAACTTCATAGGAAGATAGTCTTTATCCCAGTGTCTCTCTCAGCTTCACCATCTCTCTTCTGTTCCTTCTCCATCCCAGGAACATCAGGTCAGTCTGATGAGTCTTCTGGCTCCATAGATCATCAAACTTCAGTTCAGCAGCTTTCAGGTGAGTTCTTTTCACTTGAAAACCCTTCTGATGCTGAGGCTTTATATGAGACTGCTTCAGGCCTGAACACTTTAAGTGAGCATGGTTCCAGTGAGCATGGTTCAAGAGAGCACAGTGTGGCTGAGCACACTCCTGGAGAACATGCTGAGAGCGAGCATGCTTCGGGTGAGCCTGCTGCGACTGGACATGCAGAAGGTGAGCACACTGTAGGTGAGCAGCCTTCAGGAGAACAGCCTTCCGGTGAACACCTCTCCAGTGAACAGCCTTTGGGTGAGCATGCATCAGGTGAACAGCCTTCAGATGAACAGCTTTCAGGTGAACATGCCTCCGGTGAACAGCCTTCTGGTGAGCACGCCTCAGGTGAACAGCCTTCGGGTGAACAGCCTTCAGGTGAGCACGCTTCAGGTGAACAGTTTTTGGGTGAGCATGCTTTGAGTGAAAAGCCTTCAGGGGAACAGCCTTCAGGTGCACCAATTTCAAGCATATCTACAGGTGAGCCAAGTTGGGATGGGTGCCAGTCATTGACTTAAGGTGGGAAATAGGGAACACATCAAGAAAACCCAATTTTAGGGAAGGAGTGCAGAAGAAAGAATTGTTAACACTTCACAAATAGCTCTCTCGAAGACTCTCTAGGTTTCTTCACAATCATACCAAGAGGCAGGATCTAAGTTTTGTGGGAGCCTGAAAGCTAAACGATATGGAGGGCCCTCTATAAGAAAAATAAAACAAATACAAAATGCCAGTACCCCTCCAACTTCACTCTCCATAAGAAATTATGAATACACAGCCCTTCCAACTTCCCTGGAAGGGGCTCATGAAAGCGCAGAGTTCTGAAGACTAACCTTCATTAGCTTTATGCTAACCCTGCCTCTTAAACCATGTTAGAATGCTATAACTTTACAAATTCGGTAAAGAGATGTGTGCAGCTGGTGGTTCTTTTTGTTTGAACTTGGAATGTAAAGCTATTTTCTGTTAGATCCCGAAATGAGTTCCTAGGACAACTGCTAGTCTGTTCCTCTTAATTAAAAGGGTTTGTTCTGGGAAAGAAAACAAGACCTAAAGTTTGATGCCTCAAGTTATTACCAGACATAGTTCACATTTCACTCTATTGTATACATATCATTATTCTAAATTTTCAGATGAAGTAAGTGAGGCAAATGTAATATGTCCAATGTCACATGGCTAGAAAGTGGCACACCTTGGATTCAAACTTAAGACTGTGCAAAGCCCATCATCTTTCCCCTTCTTTATACTTCCCAAACTGGGGGATTAGCAGTAGAGATAGTAAAAGAGACAACATGGGACGTATTTCAAAGAGTGTGCCGTTAGTGACCTTCAGTAAGGTCAATTTGAAAATGGAGAAGGACGCAGACTCTTCACGGGGTTTGCAATGTTAGAGCATTCTAACATAGCTTATTAATCGGTCAACTATGACTCCAAGTGTTTGTGCCTTGTGGGTGAGAGTATGGTGGGGAGTACAAAAGGGAGATGAAAATCACACATAGGTTTTACTCCTACGGTGTCACATGACAGAGGGCATCTAACGATAAATGCCCAGGAAGTCAATGTGGATATGGACTGAGGTAAAAATATTAGAGAGAGACATTTGGGATTCATCAGCAATGAGGGTCAGAGATGAAGAAGTAAAAATGACGGAATTTTCTCTGGCACAGGTCTATCAGACACAGGGCCCTCAGATCCCCAACAAGAACTAAGAAATAAATGTGTAGTATCCATGCCACCTATTGCCCATTACCCCTCCCAGATGTGAATCACGGCTACACATCTGGTCCACAAGGAAATGTCACCAGGCTTATCTTAAATTTTCAGGCACAATACTAAATTGCTACACATGTGCTTATATGAATGATCAAGGAAGATGTCTTCGTGGAGAGGGAACCTGCATCACTCAGAATTCCCAGCAATGCATGTTAAAGAAGATCTTCGAAGGTATATGGGGACTTCATGAGGCAATCTCTGCCTAAGAACACATCAACTTACTTCTGACAGGGGGCAGTTGGAGTGATAGGGGCCCAGGAAAGAATCAAGGAAACTGAAGATTCAGAACTTTATTTTTTCAAGGACTAAGAACAGAATCCCTTGCTGGGCAAGGTGGCTCATGCCTATAATCCCAGCACTTTGGGGGGCCAAGGTAGGAGGATCACTTGAGGTCAGAAGTTCCAGACCAGCCTGGCCAACATGGTAAAACCCCATCTCTACTAAAAATACAAAAACTAGCCAGGCGTGGTGGTGGGCACTTGTAATCCCAGCTAGTTGGGAGGCTGAGGCAGGAGAATTGCTTGAACCCAGGAGGCAGAGGTTGCAGTGAGCCGAGATCATGCCATTGCACTTCAGCCTGGGAGACAAGAGTGAAACTCCAACTAAAAAAAACTAAAGAAAGAAAATAAAGAATAGAATCCCAGGTTGAGATGAAGAGATACATGCCCTTCCCATTAGGCCTAAGAGAAGGCAGGGAGACTAGCTGTCTCTTCCTATTAAAGCAATGTGTCGATTGCTCCATGAGCCATTGAGACACTGACTGTAAGCTACAGCTATATATTCCTGGGACCGAGCACAATGTAAAGTATATGGTAGGCATTTAGTAAATACTGAATGGATAAACAAATAAACAACTGTCTACAAGTCTGTGTTCACAGGTTACCAGACCTGTCCGAGTATATTCCCACACCTCTCCACCCATATTCTCAGTTCCTCATCCCTAAAATAAGGGATCCTGGTTATTTCCATCCCAGGAACCACACTGCCTGACTCCTCTTGTAGTTTTTCTTCTCCCTCACTAGAAATGTCATTTCCCCATTTCTACACGCATGCATTCATCCACCATCACTCGGAAAACATTAATGACATGTACCATGAGCCCCTACAGAAAGATGACTCAAATATAGACTGTGTACAAAGAGATTATTATGTTATAATGTAAGAAATAAGAAATAATATCACAAGGGAGAAAATGGTGTCTTAAGAAAGGCACGTATAAAGTGCAGAGAGTTCAGGGAAAGGAAAGATTAGAGGTGTAGAGAAGTATGGGGAGAAGGTGGTATTCAGAAAAGGCTTTGGAGGAACATTTACGATTTGGGCCAGTAGTCCTCAATCTTGTTTGCACATTACAATCACCTGAGTAGCTTTTAAAAAATCCTAATATTCAGGCTACACCAAAGCAATTAAACCAGAATCTCTGGGGATAGAATCCAGGCATCAGTATTTTTTAAAAGGCTCCTAGACAATTCCGATGTGCAGTCAAGATTAAAGAGATACTGATTTAGTCATACAGCAATGGTTGATGGGTATTCCAGAGACAGGGAATTATGAAAGCAAAAGTCAGAAAAGTGCAGGATGTAAATAGGAAAAAGAACAAGAATTTTTCGAGGATGGTGAGCAGAGACATAGAAGATAAACTTGGAAAGGTTGACTGGAGCCAGTTGATACAAGAGCTTCAGTGTAAGTTAAAAAGAGTTTGAATTTAATAGTTCTCCTTTATTTATTGCTCCCAGACAGTATGATATACATTTTAAAATACACTTTCTCATTTAATCCTCACAAAGTAGGAATTTTTTATTTCTGTTAACAGAAAGGCAACAAATTTAGAAAAGAGAAACAGCTTGCCTAGACATGTTACTAGGACTAGGCAGAGCCAATAGCCCATCCAGGTTGGTCAAAGCGCTTCTTCAGGAAGATTACCTTAGAAGCAAGTTACAGTGGACACAAGAGAACCTATTAAAGGGCTATTGTAATGTTTCAGTAAAAGGTAATAGGAGTGACTGATGGAAAGACGTATTAACATCTCTCCCATGTCTTTTCACTCATTCTGCATCCCTGTTTACACTCTACACTTACTCCAGCTACGCAAGTCACCATTTCCTGAACAGTTTCATGTTTTCATGTTTTTCCTCCAATTATGCTTCAGCCTGAAATTATCCTCTTTCCCTTCTATACTAATCAAAATGCTACCAGTTCTTCATAGCTTAGTTCAATATCACTTCCTTCCTAAGAATTTCCTTGATAATATGCCCCCCTTAATCAAAATACCAAAATTAATCACTTATTTGCCAGCATAGCATATAACATGGTTTTTCCATTTCATGTCATAATTGGCTATTTTTTTAATCTCTCTCAGCTCTTGACATCAAATGATGTTATTAATCTTTGCATTCTCCAGAGTCTAGCATAGTTCCTTACTAGGTCCCTTAATTTTTTTTTTTTTTTTTGAGATGGAGTCTTGCTGTTTGCTCAGCCTGGAGTGCAGTGGCATGATCTCAGCTCGCTGCAACCTCTGCCCCCAAGGCTCAAGCGATTCTCCTGCCTCACCCTCCTGAGTAGCTGGGATCACAGGCGCCTGCCACTAAGGCCGGCGAATTTCTGCAGTTTTAGTAGAGACAGTGTTTCACCATGTTGGCCAGGCTGGTCTCGAACTCCTGGCCTCAAGTGATCCACCCACCATGGCCTCCCAAAGTGCTGGGATTACAGGTATAAGCCACCACTCCCGGCCAAATGTTTGATAAATGGAAACTGAGTGACAGAAACAACCTAGATTACAAGTAGAACTGACAGAACTTCACAACAAATTGGATGGAAAAAGCAAAGGGAAGAATCAGAGATGACAGAGGTTTTGAAGGAGTGGTATAGGAAGTATTAAAGGAAACTCACAAGAACAAGCAGGTTTGGGGAGGAAGGTAATAAGTTTCATTTTGGGCACAGTAAGTTTTAGATGCCCTTAACATATTGGCATGGAGGTGATCATCAGTTAGCTGGTAATGTGAGAATTCAACTTGGGAGAGCAGAAATAATTGGATCGAGAGGAGTAGATGAGCAGTGGGGAAGACCTCGTCAGGAGCAGAGAGTATCAAGAAGGGATATAGTTTCAGGCCAGGTGCAGTGGCTCACGCCTGTAATCCCAGCACTTTGGGAGGCCAAGGCAGGTGGATCACAAGGTCAGCAGTTCGAGATCAGCCTGACTAACATGGTGAAACCCTGTCTCTACTAAAAATACAAAAATTAGCCAGGTGTGGTGGTGCGCCTGTAGTCCCAGCTACTCAGGAGGCTGAGGCAGGAGAATCGCTTGAACCCCGGAGGCGGAGGTTGCAGTGAGCCGAGATTGCGTGACTGCACTCCAGCCTGGGCGACAGAACAAGACTATCTAAAAAAAAAAAAAAACGAAACACGGTGTAGTCTACACTATAATATGCAAGCAAAGAAGTTAAAAAAAGTCCTGAGAAACGGCTGCAGAATTTGATGAATAGATATCTCTATGACCTTTGAGAGAGAAGTTTCAGCATAGTAGGGTCATGATTCCGGGTGTGAGGGGCCAAGGTGAAGGGATAGGCAGACTCTGGGAAGGCTGTAGTGAAAGGAAGGATAGTGCTAGGAGAGTAGCACAATTAAGAGAAAGTATTTTAAATTTGTATCCTTGTAAACCAAAAGGAGTCCATTGAAAGAGACTGATAAGAAAGGAGTGGGCAACTGACGGGGGGCAAGGTCCCAGAGGAAGCAAAGAGAAGAGGAGAAGGGATAATGTACAAGTGGAGGTCTTGGCCATCCTGCATGGAGACACTGAGCATCACAGATAAAGGCTAAGGTTGGAAGACAAAGAGGACAGTTTTCTGCTCACTAGTCTGTCTCTGTTCCTTTCAGGTGGAAAACTCCAATTCATGGTTCAAGGGTGTGAGAACATGTGCCCATCTATGAACCTCTTCTCCCATGGAACCAGGATGCAAATTATATGCTGTCGGAATCAATCTTTCTGTAATAAGATCTAGAAGCCTGGGCCTTTGCTTGTTTTGACTCAGGCAGTAAAAAGTCTCTATCATTCTGTTTGGCTCATTTTATATTTAGTTCCTTCCCCAGTCAACAACTGACCACGTCTGCCTCTGCCTGAGCATTAGGATGCTCAAACATCCTATCTTTCTTCTTCTTTTCATACTTTTATCCATTCTTCTCTGTCCTATCTTCCCTGCTCCAACTCTATCTCTCAATATTCCTGATTTTTTTTTTCAATAAACTTCACATCGTTAAAGCACACAGGCTCAAGATAGACTTTTTTTTCTCCATTAATCTAGTAGTAGGGTCAACATGCAGCTTCCTTCCACGCTGACACTAAAGTGGGTGCATTTTGTAAGCATTCTATATTTATGAAAGTAAAGGAGTCTCCAAGGACAGAGACAACAAAGAGGAATGCAAAGTAGGTATTAATCTTTTACAGGGTGTAAACAACGTTGCAGGTACTTCTGACATCCCTACTTTTCTATCCCTACACACTCTTCCATTTATTATGGCATACAAAAACTCAACACTTCTCTGGCTCTTGAGAGTTTCCAGTCTTCAGTAGTCCACTACTAACGTAGTAATAGTACAATGATTCCTTATTTGCTATATATTATAGCAGTTCATAATGCTTAAATAATTTTTTTCACACACAATGTTACTGAATCATCTATTCAGGACAGGAAGGCAAGTGGAAATACTAAACCGTCCCTCACTCATATAAGTGTTATGTTCTTCAAGGTGTTTTCACATACATGGTCTCATCTGATCCTCAGGAAAGAGCCCAAAGGGGTAGACAGCAAAGATGGCATCATCCTTTTTTACAAATAAGGGAATGTGACACAGAGATGTTTCCTTTATTCATACTCCCTGTTGTTCCAAATTTACCAAGGTTACAGAGCTAGAGAGAGTTATAGGCAGATTCCACAACCAAATCTGCATGACCTAAATCTAAGCCGTCTCCACCACAATGAAAGTAGCCAGAATGGTTCTAAGAACTCTTAGAACAGTACAACAAGAAGTCAAGTCAATTTTACCATATATAAAATTTAAAATTTTAACATATATACACATCATGACCCCTTCCCAAAAATATACTGGTAACAAGCTCTTCACTGGCAATAATGGTAAA